CCACCCTCGCAGGGTCTCGGGCTGCGCTTGGCTCTGCGTGTCCGAAACGTTAGCCTTTTGTGGGGGTGAAGGCGAGCGGGTCTGGCTGTGTGGGCCCTGGGAAGGAGCAAGTTATTCTTAGCGACTCCTTTCCCGGTTTTGTTCCTAATTTTACGTCGCTGAAAAGTCAGGACCTGAATTTGAGGTTCCACATTTTGAGACTTTTTGGCCCATGTCTGCGGTCATGATCCGATTACTCTATTACAGGATGTCAGACCTTGTTGGAGTAGGTCAACTGCCCTTTCCACAGGTACCCCACATTTTTAATTACTGAACTTTAAAGGAGACAGTATGTTTTACATATAAGAATACTCGTTTTATGAAACCTGGGGTTTGAATTGTGCTGTATAATTCGTTTTAATTTTTTATTGTTTTTAAAATATTTTTATTGAGTTTTAGAGAGAAAGGAAGGGAGAGAAAAACATCCATGTGAGAGGAAAAAGAATTGATTGGTTGCCTCATGCACACGCCCGGACCAGGGATCAAACCTGCAACCTGGGCACGTGCCCTGACCGGGATTGGAATTGGCAATCTTGGTGCACGGGATGCAGCCAGGGCTGTATAATCACTTTAAAAAATGTTATCCAGAATAGACTCGGATTTTAGTGAAATGCCATTAATACTTATTGATCACCTATTTTTATTTTACATTGCCATGATTACAACATGACCAATCTTCAGAAAGTAGTATTTTTAAAAAGTGTATTTTTATTTATTTCAGAAAGAAGGGGAGAAGGAGAGAGAGAGAGACACACACACACACACACACACATCAATGAAGAGAGAATCATTGATCTGCTGCCTCCCGCAGGCTCCACACTGGGGTTTGAGCTGCAACCTGGGCATGTGCCCCTGGCTGGAATTGAACCGTGAGCCATGCTGGCCGGGCCAGAAAGAAGTATTTTAAGTGGATATCAGATAACCTGGGCTTTATATAAAACATTTTCCAAGAGGCAAATTTGACTTCTATAATTCATTAAGATGACTTAAACTAAATTAATTAGCAGACTTATTCTTGCTTGTTCATTTGCATCTTAAATTTTGGTTTTCACCTTTTTACATTGTTTTAATATGCTGAACAAGTGGATATAAACTATGTCCTTAAACTGAAGTTTTTTATATGCCACCAAAGTCATATTAAAGGATAGACTTTAATATAGGGCTTGGCAGTTTGTAGGAGTTTTTAGGTATTTGTGTTCTGGCCACCAACTTCTAATTGTGCATAATTTGTGATAATTCTCAGCCACTTTTAAATATAGAAAAGGCATAATTTAAAAAAATGAATTCATTAAACATTTTAGGGAATATGCCATTTTTGGTTTATCATTGCGTTTTTTAGTAGCATACATGTCCATCTAGTGTAAGTTACCATCTATATCAAAGAGCAGTAATTTTAATAAAAATGCACATTTATGAAATTCATATGACCTACTAATTGCTGACATAATTTAGCAATTAGAACAAAACTTTCTCATGGAGTGGATTAGGAAAGTGAGACTTGGAGAATGAGGTTGTTATTAAGTGACTGAAAATGAATTTCAAGTTACTATCCCCATCAGTTTACTTTGATCTTTTGAAAAAAGGACATTTGTCACCAGTATTTTGGTTCAGTTTTTTAGTGTTGCTCTCTTGTCTAGCTCATAACTATGTTTTATTCTTGATATTACAAGAATAAAATTAACATGAAGCTAACTTAATAGAAGGTAATATCAATTTGCCAGGACTGCATATGACCTATAAGTGAAGATACTGCCAATTTTTATGAAATATATCATATGTATCTTGGGCTTAGCATGTTTTAGAACATACCATTATTTTCTTGATTTGTTGTGGGAGGGAGTAGTATACTTGCTTTGGTAGTCCAGGCCTCGTCCAGTTTTTATCTTTGTTTTTAGTTTCTTTTGGACAGATGCATACCAGTTTTCCTCTTTAAGGTCCAAAGTTAACCCACTAACTAATTAATATAGTAGGCAAGGAGTTTAACAGGGACAAATTATAGATTATATTCCATTGACTTTTTTTTTTTTTAAATATATTTTATTGATTTTTTCACAGAGAGGAAGGGAGAGAGACAGAGAGTCAGAAACATCGATGAGAGAGAAACATCGATCAGCTGCCTCCTGCACATCTCCTACTGGGGATGTGCCCGCAACCCAGGTACATGCCCTCGACCGGAATCGAACCCGGGCCCTTTCAGTCCGCAGGCCGACGCTCTATCCACTGACCCAAACCGGTTTCGGCGACTTTCTTTTTTTAACATACTTATATTGACTAACAATAATGATTGTTGAATAATATATATAATTTCTATTTTTAAATATGTATATATATATTTTTTGTCAAAGGAATAAGTCCCCCTGTCAGTGGAGGATGGGATACTTCAACCTGGGGAATAAAATCAAACGCAGAGCCGCAGAGTCAACCAGCAACCTCTCCCAAAGCAATTACAAAGCCAGTTCGGAGAACGGTGGTAGATGAATCTGAAAATTTCTTCAGTGCCTTTCTCTCGCCAGCGGATGTCCAGACCATTCAGAAGAGTCCAGTGGTATCCAAACCGCCGGCTAAATCACAGAGACCAGAAGAAGAAGTGAAAAGCACCTTACAGGAGACCGTGCACACTGGAGGGTCAAGAACACCTGAAACAACTGAGTCAAAAGGGACTGACTCTTTTCCCTGTGTCTCCCCAGGGGAAAATCGGGCAGTCGCCACTCTGTCACCTAAAGCTGAAGGCGAGCATGGAGAAACCGTTAATAAAGATTCTGATATGAAGGTGTCAACCACAAGTTTGAAAGTATCTGAGAGTGTAATTAATGTTAAAACAACTAGGGAAAGTGTATCTAACATGTCTACGCAGTCTCCCACAGCAGAAACAAAGGACATAGCTTCAGAAGCAAAGGAACAGAAACACGAAGACAGACAGAGCAATACACCTTCTCCTCCCGTTAGTACCTTCTCCTCAGGTACTTCTACTACCAGTGATATTGAAGTTCTAGATCACGAAAGTGTAATAAGTGAGAGCTCAGCAAGTTCCAGACAAGAGACTACAGATGCAAAATCAAGTCTTCACTTGATGCAGACATCTTTTCAGCTTCTCTCAGCATCTGCTTGTCCTGAGTATAATCGTTTAGACGACTTCCCCAAACTCACTGAGAGTTGCTGCTCATCTGATGCTTTTGAAAGAATAGACTCGTTTAGTGTACAGTCATTAGATAGCCGAAGTGTAAGTGAAATCAATTCAGACGACGAATTGTCAGGCAAGGGTTATGCTTTAGTACCTATTATAGTTAATCCTTCAACCCCAAAGACTAAAGTAGTTGAACCTGTTGAAGGAAAATCTGAGGAAGAAGTAAATGAAACAGTTATACCCACTGAGGAAACAGAAATGGAAGAAAGTGGACGGAGTGCAACTCCTGTGAACTGTGAACAGCCTGATATCTTGGTTTCTTCTCCGCCAATAAATGAAGGACACACTGTCTTAGACAAGGTGGTTGAGCAGTGCGAAGCTGCAGGAAGTCAGCCAGAAGCACTTTCTGAGGAGGAGGACATTTGCAAGGTAATTCTAGAAAGTGCAAGAGGGTTTTTGGATACTCGTCAGAGATTAAATCATGTGTTTATTTTATTTATTTATTTAATTATTTTTATTGACTTCAAAGAGGAAAGGAGAGGGAGAGAGATAGAAACATCAATGATGAAAGAGAATCATTGATTGGCTGTCTCCTGTACAAACAACACTAGGGATCGAGCCCGCAACCCAGCATGTGCCCTGACCAGAAATTGAACCATGACCTCCTGGTTCATATGTCGGCGCTCAGCCACTGAGGTACGCCGGCCAGGCCGCATGTGGCATCTTTGATAGCCTCCTCTGAGAAATATAGGGTGTTTGAAGAACTGCCCTGTAAATGCCATGTGCTGAATTACTTATGTAAAAAAGTGCCAGCCTCTCTTACCTGGGTCTAATATTCACAAATGAAATGCCTTGCTGCAGTTTTACTAGCAGTTTGAATTCCTAGAAAACAATACTATTTATTTCAATAAGATATTTTTGAACTATTTTAAGAAGATAAGTGATTCCTAGGTTAATCTAGACTTAAATCAAGTAAGTTAATATTTTTTTAGTACAAAAGGCACCATTTTTTCCCCTTTATAAGTGTATCACTGCTCCAGCAGGATCTAATAACCATTTCTTTTTGCTTAGCTTTTTTTATTCCAATATATTCTGGAGATTTTAAAATTGCATGCCTATGGATTTTCTAAAGTTACTTTTTAAATGTAGTGTATTATATTTAAAAGGTTACATGTTATATGTTTGGATTAAAGAATAATACGGAAAAACATACACTTGTATACCCACTGCCCTACTAAGATATAGAACATTATTAGAGGCTTTGAAGCCCTTCGTTTATTTATTTACTAGAGGCCTGGTGCACGAATTTGTGCTCCAGTGGGGTCCCTCGCCTGGCCTGTGGGATCAGGCCGAAACTGGCTCTTTGACATCTCCAAGGGGTCCTGGATTGCGAGAGGTAGCAGGTCAGGCCGAGGGACCCCACCAGTGCACAGTTGGGGCCGGGGAGGGACGTGGAAGGTTGGCCAGCTGGGGAGGGACCGTGGGAGGACTCCAGGGCATGTCTGGCCCATCTCGCTCAGTCCCTATCGGCCAGAACCCAGCAGCAAGCTAATCTACCGGTTGGAGCATCTACCCCCTGGTGGTCAGTGCATGTCATAGTGAGCGGTTGAGCAGCCTTAGCATATCATTAGCATATCACGCTTTGGTTGGTTGAACAGAGGACTGGACGATTGGACACTTAGCATATTAGGCTTTTATTATATAGGATCTTTTTTATCACATCTCTCTCTCTTCCTCTCTTGGTGAAATATGCACACTCTTCCCAAGTTTTGCTGTTACTAACTACTGTAGATAGTCTTGTATAACACATGCAGCAAGTTTCTCCTCTCAGGTAGACCTAAAAGTAGAATTTTCTATATCTTTAGTTAGATATTGCCTGATAGTTTTTCGAAGTGGTTTACTAATTTATGCTCCCACCTGCTAAGTGCTTGTACTACTTTATACTCTCCTACAAGCTGTGTATGAATTCTTATGCTGTATTCATTTGTTCTCAGTATTTGATTCTTTTTATGAGATAATGCTGTTTTATTGATTATAGTGGTTAGTTACTTTTCAGCTCGTCACTGCATGTTAAATGTTTGACTTTTGTCATGTTCCTTGTCTAGAAAGTTGCATTTCTGAATGAGAAACTGGACAAAAGGGAGGCTCAGTTATTATCTCTTAGTAAAGAAAAAGCACTTCTAGAAGAAGCTTATGATAATCTGAAAGAGTAAGTATTTTACAAATGTGAGTCATTTTTTACGTTTCATAAAAGCCCATACACTTGTATATTACTTAAGAAAATGATTTGTAATTTAACTTGTTAATGATTATTTAAATTAAAATGGTTTATAATTTAACTTGTTTATAATTATTAAAATTTGAATAGCATTTCAATTCTAACCTTAGATATGACTTTTCTCCTCACATTGTCTTGACCATATTACCTTTGGCATTGAAGAGAGGTATTTTGCAAAAAAAAAAAACCAACCAACCTTTTTCCCCTTATTATTAATAGTATTTTAGTATTAGAGATTTAAAACAGTGATATTATAGTTTTTAAAAAAATACTGAGTATTGACTTGCTTTATGAAGGTGATTGGTAAAATGTGACACAAGATTCAAAATGAAAAATTTCATTTACTTTTATCTTATTTTTACATATCAAACATTGTTGACATTTTCAGTTATTAATGGGTTTTTTTTCAGGTGTTTTAAAATAAATCAAGCGGGTAATTTTTCTCTGAAAAGTTGACAGGACTAAAACTAACCTACTTTGTTATAGCATGTGTTGAAGACAATGTCATTTTCCTTTTGCAAACTGAACTCATTTTGTTAACTTCGGAATATTTAAACAAGTATCCTCAGTCTCAGTATTATTTTAAATTTAGTGAAATGTTCAGAGTGAAAGAAGAAAGCAGCAGCATTTCTTCCTTGAAAGATGAGTTTGCTCAAAGAATTGCAGAAGCAGAAAAGAAAGTTCAGCTAGCCTGCAAAGAGAGAGATGCTGCTAAAAAGGTAATGGAAGTTTAAAATAATATTCATTAAACTCTATAGGGACATAGATTTTTGAGCAGTGCCTTCATTGTATTTTGGTATTGGAGAAAAGAGAGGTAAGAGTAAAGGGATACTATAGAATGTTAACACTTAATTTGTAAATTTTTCAATACCTTTAAAATGATAAATTTTGATACTTTAAAAAATTCTAAGCAAATACTTGTCTGTGTAATTTATAAGTCCTTGCAAAATATATAGCAAGGATCACTAGACTAATTTTTATAAATGATAATTTCATCAAAGTAAATAATACAAGTCTAAATGGTCCCTCTAAATAAAATTTATCATTACTCTGGTTTGTTAATTTTCTACCACTTCAAACATACATACTTCTTCAAGTCAAAGTAATTTTAAAATATATTAACTCTTGGGGGGCATAACATTTATTTATTCTAATGTAGGATTTCTCAACCTTAGCACTGTTGACATTTTGTGGTATATAATTTTATGTTGTATAGAGCTGTCCTGTGCATGGTAGGGTGCTGACCAGCATCCCAGGCCCTACATACCAGATGACAGCATCACCCTTCCCTATTGCCGTCCTCCTCTTCCCCTCAGCTGCGCTAATTGAAAATGTTAGCAGACATTGCCAAATGTTCCCCTTGGAGTCAAATCACTCCTAGTTGGGGACCATTGTTCTGAGTCTTATCATTTGGAACAGTTGGTTATTTCAGAAATTGGTAACCAACTAAGGTTAGTCATTATTGCTTGTAATCCAACTGTGAGTAATCGTATTTCTTAGCATTTGCCATTCTCAGGTTGCCTTTCCCCTTCTCGACCACTGTTAATGTTAATATAATTTTTCTGCATATAGTCTTACAGAAAAGAAATATGTCATATACCTCCATTTGCTTGGTTGTTTTAACTAGCTAGTTCATTTCAGACACTAGTAATAACCTGAGACTACCTAACCAACTTACCTCTTCTTGTCCCTACTGTATTTCATCTGGTCCAGATTAATCAAGAAATTGGATTTTAAGTAATGTTTGTTTCCTATAGTGCACTTGGAATTATAGATCTAAAATAGATTGAAACCATTAACTGTAAAGGGAAAAACTTAGGCCCTAAATTTTAACACACTTTTGTATGTATAGCCATGTATGACCTGCTTAAGAGGCATAGGCCATTCATTCAAAGGTAAATGGAATTACCTTAAGTGACAAATTTGCTTTTCTAGTGATAGAAGACAATGTCAACAACTGTAAAGTACTAGGTAGAATTAAATAAGTTATACAGATGAATAAGCAGTTTGGAATGGTATTATAGAGGATGAATTCTGACCAGGGTAATTGAGGAAGTTTTCACAGAAGACATGACATTCTTACTGGACCTTGATGTGTGAATCAAAATTTTGACAATTGGAAATGGATAGCAATGTTATGGGTGGTTCAGAGCATGGGCTTTGGGGTTCCACAGACCTGGTTTCAAGTCTTAACTCTACCAATTTAATAGCTTTCTGACCTTGAAAGTTTACTCAATCTTTCTGAGTCTTAGTTTTCTTGTTTGTGTAGTTGAATCATACAGTAGTTGCCTCCCTCATAGGATTGCTGTCAGGATTAAAAGATAATGGATACAAAGTATGCTTTACATACCTAATAAATGTTAGTTGTTTTTAGCTATTTTTAATTCCAGAGCAACTCTTAAAACCAAATTTTAAATTATAGAAGACTTTCCATCTCATTGTACTTCTCCATTGTAGCTTTTAAAGATAAACTATCTTGACATATTTCTGCTGAATCTCTGCTTTATTAAAGTAGATCAAACTTTATATAATCATGGGTTTTCCTTTCATTTCACAACACGCTAGTAGTGTGAGTGAGTTTTAATAAGGAAAAGAAATACAGTGAGAAATGGAGACATGTACTGTTTGAAATGTTGTTCCAATTATAATGCTTGTAGAAAATGTATGTAGAGAAACTCAAGAATTGAGTATTGAAATTTAACTTATTCTCATTTCCATTTCCATATTAAAACCTGTTTATATCTGAATTCAGGTTTTCTACATCATTTTCAAAGCTGTTTTTTCTTAGTCTTAATTAACCAAGGTAATAAATTCAGGGTAACAGAACAAAACTTATGAATTCTTATCAAGAATGTGATTATTGATGACTTTTGGGAATATGGAAGATAATTGAAAAATATGCCCAGAATGAAAGTAATTCTTTATGGTATTTACATTATTTTTTTAAAATTAGGAAATCAAAACTATGAAAGAAGAACTTGCGACCAGATTAAATTGTAGTGAAACTTCAGACCTTTTGAAAGAGAAAGATGAGCAGATCCGAGGCTTATTGGAAGAAGGTGCGTATTTAATTGATTATGAAAAATCTGGTAAAGATAAGAAAAATACTTGTCACATAACTAGTTGCTGCTTCCTAATAAAAAAACATTGGAAGCAAGTAAGGTTTGTACTTAAATCTCAGAAATGGTAGGTTATAATTTATGGAAGAATGAGGAGCAAGATGTACAGAGGCAGATATACACATAATGTAGCTTTTTTTTTCTAGAGAGGGAAATTAATAATTTTCTGAAAAATAGAAGTTTGTGCTTCCTAAAGCAAGCTTGTAACAGGTCTTACAGTCTGTCATTTATTTATTTATTTTTAATATTTTTATTGTCCTAGTTAGTTTGGCTCAGTGGATAGAGCGTCAGCCTGCGGACTGAAGGGTCCTGGGTTCGATTCTAGTTAACCCCTAGAGTGCCGGGGAGTGCAATCGCGCTCCTCCTGTCCTTCACCAAAAGTGCTGGGAGCACTGTCACACTCCTCCTGCAGTGTCACTATTAGATGCTAGTAGTTCACTCTTTATGTGGGAAAAAAAATTTAAAAACCTTAACTCAAAATTCCCTGGCAATTTTAGCATAGTTCCTAGGATATTGGTTGGGACTCAAAGGGTTAAGGGCACATGCCTGGGTTGCGGGCTAGGTTCCCCATTGTATTTCAGAGAGGAGAGGAGAGGGAGAGAGAAAGAAACATCAGTGATGAGAGAGAATCATTGATCCGTTGCCTCCTGCACGCCCCCCCAATGGGGATCGAGCCCGCAACCCAGGCATGTCCCCTGACCTGGAATCGAACTGTGACCTCCTGGTTCATAGGTTGACGCTCAGCCACTGAGCCACGCCAGTTGAGCACAGCCTATCATTTAAACCAAGATGCTCGACACAGGAGCTGCCCCTGGTGGTCTGCGCTCCCACAGGGGGAGCGCTGCTCAGCTACAAGCCGGACTGACGGCTGGTGAACACCACGACCTGCCTCAATGGCAGCACTAATGATGTCCGCCTGCGGCTTAGGCCTGCTCCCCGCAGTCAGTCGGACATCCCTGGAGGGCTCCTGGACTTCGAAAGGGTGCAGGCTGGGCTGAAGGACCTCTCCCCTCCCCCCCCGCCAATGCTTTTTCTGTGTCTATTGATATGATCATATGATTTTTATCCTTCATTTTTATTTATGTGGTGTATCACGTTTATTGATTTTCGAATATTGAACCATCCTTGCATCCCTGGAATAAATCCCACTTGGTCATGGTGTGTGATCTTTTTAATGTATTGCTTGATCCTATTTGCGAATATTTTTTTGAGGATTTTAGCATCTGTGTTCATCAGGCATATTGGCCTATAATTTTCTTTCTTTATAGTATCTTTATCTGGTTTTGGGATTAGGAGAATGCTGGCCACATAAAAAGAGCTTGGATGTCTTCCCTCCTCTTGAATTTTTTGGAATAGTTTGAGGAGGATTAGTGTTAATTCTTCTTTAAATGTTTGGTAAAACTTACCATGAAGCCATCTGATCCAGGGCTTTTGTTTGCTGGGAGTGTTTTGATTACTGCTTCAATTTCATCAGTTGTTATTGCCTATTGAGGTTTTCTGATTGTTCCTGATTGAGTTTTGGAAGATTGTATGTTTCTAGGAATTTGTCCATTTCACCCAGGTTGTCCAGTTTGTTGGCATATAGATCTTCAAAGTATTTTCTTACAATTCTTTGTGTTTCTATGATATTAGTTGTATTCTTGCCTCTTTCATTTCTGATTTTATTTATTTGGGTCCTCTCTCTTGGTTTCTTGATGAGTCTGGCTAAAGTTCCATCAATCTTGTTTATTTTTTCAACGAGCCAGCTCTTGGTTTCATTGATCATTTCTATTGGATTTTTTAGTCTTTTTGTCATTTATTTCTGCTCTGAACATCATTATTTCCTTCCTTTTACTTACTCTGGGCTTTTTTCTCTTTCTGATTATTTTATTATGCTATTATTTAACAGCATATCAGATGTTATGTTTGATATAGTAATAAATACAATACACCCTGGTGTCCTTTAGAAGAGTGAAATATAGGTACAAACATAATTATCAAACACAGTCTAAGCACTGAAATAGAAAAATGAAGGAAGGGTTTATTAAAACACCTTGAAGTCACTAACTGCCTTATGCTACAACGTTAGAGATTGAGGGGAAGGCTAAGTACACGGTTTTATTATTAAAAATACTAATATCGCCCTAGCCAGTTTTGCTCAATGGATAGAGTGTTGGCCCACGGTCTGAAGGGTCTTGGGTTTGATTCCAGTCAAAGGCACGATCCCTGGCCCTGGTCAGGGCTGATGCAGGAGGCAACCAATCGATGTCTCTCTCTCTCATCATTGTTTCTCTCTCTGTATCTCCTCCTCCCTTCCACTCTTTCTAAAAATTAATGGAAATATATTGGGTGAGGATTAACAAAAAAAATTTTCATGTCTAACGATGAGAGAGAATCATTTATCAGCTCCCTCCTACATGCCCCTTACTGGGGATCAAGCCTCCAACCTGGGCATGTGCCCTGACCTGGAATCGAATTGTGACCTCCTGGTTCATAGGTCACTCCTCAACCACTGAGCCACACTGGCTGGGCTAGCACGATATTTTTATGGAAGTATTTACATACTGCTTCTGTATCCCCAGGAGGTATTTTTATTTGTTTTGTTTTGTTTTAAATATATTTTATTGATTTGTTACAGAGAGGAAGGGAGAGGAATAGAGAATTAGAAATATCCATCAGCTGCCTCGTGCACACCTCCTACTGGGGATGTGCCCACAACCAAGGTACATTCCCTTGACCGGAATCGAACCTGGGACCCTTCAGTCCGCAGGTCGACGCTCTATCCACTGAGCCAAACTGGTCAGGGCCCCCAGAGGTATTTTTAAATTCACAGTTGAAAAACTAAAAGACTCAAAGCTGAAAGCATGCTACAGTGGATTACCTTGATTCATCAACTATTAACATTTAGCAACACCTCCATATCTTTCTGTGTACACTAACTACACTTTTTGCCAAGCATTTTTTGTTTGTATGTGGTGTGTTTTTTTAAAATACATTTTTGTTGATTTCAGAGAGGAAGGGAGGGGGAGAGAGAGATAGAAACATCAATTATGAGAGAGAATCACTGATTGGCTGCCTCCTGCACGCTCCCCAGTGGGGATGGAGCCAGCAACCTGGGCATGTGCCCTTGAATGGAATCGAACCTGGGACCCTTCAGTCTGCAAGCCCTCTATCCACTGAGCCAAACCTGCTAGGGCTTGCCAAGCATTTGAAAGTAGGTGACATAACATAACATTTCATTCCTAAATTCTTTTTTTTTCAGCTTTATTGAAGAATAATTGAGAAAAATTGTGTATATTTAAGGTATACATCATGATTTTTGATATATGTATATATTGTGAAATGATTACACAGTTAATTAACATGTCACTCACCTATATAATCACCTTTTTTTTTTTTAAATATATTTTATTGATTTTTCACAGAGAGGAAGGGAGAGAGAGATAGAGAGTTAGAATCATCGATGAGAGAGAAACATCGATCAGCTGCCTCCTGCATGCCCCCCACTGGGGATGTGCCCGCAACCCAGGCACATGCCCTTGACCAGAATCGAACCCGGGACCCTTCAGTCCGCAGGCCGACGCTCTATCCACTGAGCCAAACTGGCTTCGGCTAATCACCCTTTTTTGTGTGTGGTTAAGGTGTATTCTAGCAAATTTCAAGTGTACAATGTAGTATTTTTAATTTCGGTTTTCATGCTGTACATAAGATCTCCAGAACTTACTCATTCTGCAAAACTGAATCTTCATATACCCTTTGACCAATATCTCCCCATCCCCCAACCCCTTCCTGCTAACCACCATTCTATTCTCTGTTTCTATGAGTTCAACTTTTTTTTTTTTTTACTGTCTGATGAGATTTATTTATTTACTAGAGGCCCGGTGCACAAAAATTTGTGCACTCGGCGGCGAGGGGTGGGTCCCTCAGCCCGGCCTGTGCCCTCTCGCAGTCTGGGACCCCTCGGGAGATAATGACCTGCTGGCCTAAGCCTGCTCCCGGGTGGCAGAGGGCAGGCCCAA